GTCCTGGTGGTGCTTCACAGCTGATGTTGGTGTTTCTGGTTTATAACATTTTCTTTTCTATATAATTAAAAAACTACATGCAAACAGTAACTAGGGAAATGGAGTGGCTGTGTTATTATCAGACAAAAATGACTATGTTATTATCAGACAAAAAAATACTTCTAGACAATAAATTGTTACAAGAGAAAAATCAAGATCATATATGATGATAAAAATACCAGTCCAGGACTTCCGCCAAGATGGAGGCATAGGTGGATGTGCCGTGCCTTCTCACACAACCAAGATTAGAGAAAACTAAATATTAGCAATAGAAAACACAGCCAGAACACGGAAAATTGAACTTTTCGGAAGTCCGTTAACAACAAATTCTTCAGCCTGACCGGTAAGGGGCGAAACCAGCAGCTGGCGGAGCAGGGTTGCACAGGAGGACTCGGCCAGACACACTCAGGCCCGCAGAATCCAGGCGCAGGGTCAGACCTAGTGAGCGACCAAGCGAGCGACCAGGCGAGTGACCGCGGGGGAGACAGCCGGGCCGAGGCTGCGTGTTGACTGAGGTCGCGCATTTGTGCGAGGGTGGAAAGGCGAGGGAGTGGGCGGTTGGACCGGCCGGCAGGTCCCCACGGCAAGCGGCAGTGGAGGGCGCCGCCATTTCCCTGCTCTGACCCCACCTCCACATACAGCCTCATAACCCAGCGACTCTGAGTGGCCCGGCCCAGGTGAACCACCTAAGGCACTGCTCCTCCGCACCCAGCTGTGAGAAGCTGCAGAGGGGGTCCCCATTTTCCTGCTCTGGCCATGCCCCCACATACAGCGTCACAACCCAGCGACCTGGGAATCCAAGGCGCCGCTTCTCACACGCTTCTCACACTTAAAGGGCCCGAACAGATCAAGAATGGCACAGGAGGATCTCAGAGCCCCAGAGCCAATAAATCTAAGCGATGAAGAAATAGCAAAACTCACAGACACACAGTTTAAAACATTGGTGATCAGGATCCTCACAGAACTGGTTGATTATACTGACAAATTAGACAAATATATGAAGGCGAAACTAATTGAAATGAATGGAATTGCACAGGACACCAATAGCAATGAAAAGGAAACTGGGACTCAAATCAATGCAGTGGACCAGAAGAAAGCAAATAATGGCCAAACAGAAAAGAGTCAAGAAGCAAGAATTCAAAGAAATGAGGAGAGTCTTAGGAACCTCCAGGACATCTTTAAATGCTCCAACATCCGAATTATAGGGGTACCAGAAGGGGGAAAGGCACAGCCACCAGTGGAAAACTTATTTCAACAAATAAGAAAGGAGAATTTCCCCAATCTGGCAAAGGGAAATAGACTTCCAGGAAATCCAGGAAGCTCAGAGAGTACCAAAGAAGTTGGACCCAAGAAGGAACACACCAAGGCACATCGTAATTACATTAGCCAAGATTAAAATGAAGGAGAGAATCCTAGAAGCAGCAAGAGCTAAGGGGACAGTCACCTACAAAGGAGTCCCCATCAGACTGTCAGCGGATTTCTCAAAAGAGACCTTACAGGCAAGAAGGGGCTGGAAAGAGGTATTCCAAGTCATGAAATCTAAAGACCTACAACCAAGATTGCTCTATCCAGCAAAACTTTCATTTAAAATGGAAGGACAGATAAGGTGCTTCTCAGATAAGACCAAATTCAAGGAGTTCATCATCACCAAGCCCTTATTATATGAAATGTTAAAGGGACTTATCTAAGAAAAAGAAGTTAAAGAAACATGAACAGTGAAAGGACAACAAACTCACAGTTATTAACAACCACACCTAAAACTAAAGCAAACTAAAAGGACAGCTAGATCAGGAGTGGAAACATAGAAATGAAGATCTCAAGGAGGGTTAGCAACAGGGGAGTGGGAGGAGGAGAAGGGGGGAGAAGGTACAGAAAATAAGTAGCATAGACAGTAGATAGAAAATAGATGGGGGGGCAAGAATAGCATGGGAAATATAGAATCTAAAGGACTTGAGACACATGGTCATAAACTAAAGGGGGGGTAGATGGTGGGGATGGGGGGTAGGGTGGAGGGGAATAAAGGGGGAATAGAACAACTGTAACAGCATAATCAATAAAAAAAATTAATTAGCTCACAAAAAAAATACCAGTCCATAAAAGAGACAATAATTGTATTTATACCATTATAAATACAAATGTAAAAATTGACAGATTAAAGGGAGAATAAACAGTTCTACAATAATAGTTATAGATCTCAATATCCAATTTTCAATAATGTATAGAATAACTAGAAAGAACATCAATAAGAAAATAAGGTATTTAAAAAACACTATAGAGCAACTAGAACTAAAATATGTGTGACCCAAACACACTGGAATACAGCTTCTTCTCAAGTGAACATTACAAATCCTTCAGGCTCAACTACAGGTTAGGTCACTGAACAAGGTTCAGTAAATTTAAAATGACTGAATCATCTAGGGTATCTATTCCCAACAAAAAGGGATAAAATTAGAAAGTAATAACAGAAAGGAAACTGAAAAAATCATCAATATGTAGAAATGACACAACGCACTGTTAAACAACCAATGTGTCAAGAAAAACACAAAAGAAATTAGAAAATATCTTGAGACAAATGGGAATGAAAATACAACACACAAAAATGAAGGGGATATGAAAACAGCAGTTCCCAGAGAAAAACTTATGTCTGTGAACACCTATGCTGTAAAAGAAAAAGATCTCACCTTAATAAAGAAGAAAAAGAAGAAAATATTAAACTAAAAGCAAGTGGAAGAAATAAAATAACTATTAGAGTAGAAAAATGAAATAGAGAATAGAAATAAATAGAACCAACTAAACCAAAAGCTTTGTTCTTTGAAACACTTGAAAAATATTTAGGAAAAGTAATCAAGAACAACAGAGATGACACTGATTATTAAAATGAAGAATGAAAGTTAGTGAGGAATAAAATGAAGAATATTACTAACAAAGTTATAGAGATTGTTAAAGTAAGAAAATACTAAGCAACCTAAGTGCCCTGCAGTAACTGGGTGGATAAAAAAATGTCACTCCAGTAACTGAGTGGTACATTTATAAAATGAAATACTGCACAGCAGAAAGGAGTGAGTGAGAGCATGGATGGAACTGGAGAGCATTATGCTGAGTGAAATGAGCCAAGCAGTGAAAGACAAATACCATATGATCTCACCTAAAAGTGGAACCTAATCAACAGAACAAACAAGCAAGCAAAATAGAACCAGAAACAGTGAAATAAAGAACAAACTATCAGTTACTAGAGGAGAAGGGGGAGAGGAATAATGGGGGAAAATAAGGGAAAGTCCATCAAGGAACATGTATGGAAGACACATGGACAGAGCCACAGAGGGTGGGTTTGATTGTGGGAGGCATGGACAGGTAAGGCAGGGGCCGGTGGTGCAGTGAAAATGGAGACAACTGTACTTAACAACAATAAAAAGCATCTACTAGAGATATTAATATTTTAAATTATTTTTCTTTTTGTTGGTTATATGTTCTCTCTCAAACTTTTTTTCTGTATTATATAGGAAGGGCAATGAAAATGAAGGATTTTTCCATTTCTGCCTCAAATCTTCCCACCTATGATAGTTTTAGGGTTATGAAATTTCTGCTTGGAAATTTTCTGTTGTTATTACATGTTTCTTTCTTTTTTCTTCCCCTGTATGCACTCATTTCCATTAGATTTTTATAGTTTCTGATAGCTGCATTTTCTTGGAATCTTGGTGATTCATTAATTGCTTGCTTTGCTCTCAGCCAAGATTGATTTTTTTTCCCTAGGTTTATATCAGGGTTGTTCATATATCATCTGGCTGTTTTCTTTCAGGGTGAAAGTAGTACTGCTCTTGTCTACTTAGGTGGAGTGAGTCATTCTCATGTAAATGCAAGCAAAATTTACATTCTTGTAATGGGAAACAACTTGAAGAACTTTGCAAGCTTCATCACATTCTTCCTGGTCCTGCAGGGACCTGTTGCCTGTCTGTGTCAAGAGCTCATTAGCTAAGCACTTGAGTTTGAAAATAACACCCACAGAAAAACAGCACACATAGCATTGTGATTTTACTCACTCACAATGAATCATATTTATTGTTTGCTTTGTATGATTACATAAATACCACATATTAATGTAGTACAGTGCTGAATTTTAGTAAAACAAAGAAAACTAATGAAATGATTTACTCTGAGATTCCCATAGTTAACATTGATGATTATATTCTTATCGATCATTTCTAATGTGTGTGCATACTTGGTGCACAAAGTAGGAGTGTGATACCTGTGTTTTTATAGGAGATGCTCACTTTTATAAACATTTATTTCCTTTTCCTTAGATTTACTATTTCATTTATTATCTCTAAGAAAATATACTTAAAAACAGTAACTTGTGAACATTCCTTGACTACTCTAAGTTGTTCTTATTATATGAAAATATTTTTATAATAATAGTTGTTTTATCATATCAGTGGTTTATATTATATAAAATATTTGATATACACATAAACCCAGCCTAATATTCACTGTTATCATTGTAGCAACCTCATCTATTGCATGAAAGTACATTCCTAATGAAAGATTTTTTTTAAAACATCATTTCTCTATTGAGTCAGTTAGGCCTAAATATACATAAAATATTAATTAATATTCCATTACCAGGCTGGCTTAAAATTTTCTGTGACAAATTATGAAAATGAGTGACATAGTTTTCAATATATGATATAGCAGAGACTTTATTACAATTGAATCCATTACATTGGTCCTTGACAAAAATTCTTGCTGCGAAGCAATATTTCACAGCAAAATCATACAATTTACCTAAGAATGATTTACTATTTCTGGACACATCCATAACTGTATGACTGAAGACAGAAAGTTTCTCAAAGTTTTAACTAACTTTGAATTTGGAAATAAATAAATTGAGTTTAAGATAAATAGCTGTTGAAATTTTATTAAAGACCTGTGAGATATCAATCAACTCCTGTAAATAGACTCATTTTTTATAAGTGAAGTAGCTTATTTACGTACAGTTTCTTCAGTGCCTTTATGAAATTCTTGTTTCTTAGACTGTATATCGTAGGGTTAAATAAGGGAGTTGAGATAGTGTAGAAAAGAGAAAGTACTTTGTTGGTTCCCCCTGAGTCTTGGGACTTGGGTCTTAAATATATGATAGTGGCTGATCCAAAGAACGGTGTCACCATCACGAGGTGAGATGAGCAGGTGAAGAAGGCTTTGGTCCGACCTGTGGCTGATGACAGTTTAAGAATTGTAGAGATGATTTTGCCATAGGACACAAGGATCAACAGAAACGGAACTGCAACAAACAGCACAGCAACTGTGTAGACCATCATTTCATTTACAGTGGTGTTCCCACAGGCCAACTTGATTACTGGGGGGATGTCACAGAAGAAGTGGTTGATGAGGTTAGAACCACAAGAGGACAGAGAGAAAGTCTGGAATGTCTGCCCTATTTGGACTGGAACGCCACCCATCCAAGAACCAGCCACCAGCTGGACACAGACCTTGTGGTTCATAACTAGAGGATAGTGTAGAGGGTGACAAATGGCCACATAATGGTCATAGGCCATCACGGCCAGAAAGAAACACTCAGTGGCTCCCGGCATGAGGAAGAAGCACATTCGTGCAGCACAGGCAACTAAAGATATTCTTCTTCTCTGGGTCCAGAGATTCGTGAGCATTCTGGGGAGAATAACTGACATGTAGCACATTTCCAAAAAGGAAAAATTGCCCAGTGAAACATACATTGGGGTCTGGTGAGCAGGGTCCAGTTTCATTATTAGAAATACAGTGCCATTGCCTACCAATATCATGATATAGATGATTAGGAATAATCCAAATAGAAACCACTGGAGATGGGGAACATCAGCAAAGTCCAGGAGAACAAATTCCATTGGTTTGGTCAGATTTCCCTCTGGTGGTTTTTCTTGGTGATTCATCTGTCGACAGAGGAAATTAGCAGTGTGCTTTTATTTTTACCCTCATGGATGAATGCCTGTTCTTTAAATTTTATCTGGATGTGAAGACTGCTTTTCACCATCACTGCAATGGTTTCTAATGAACACATTTCTCATTTATTCAGAGTAGATATTACAGATTATCACTGTAAAAATCCCTTAAAGTATTTTTAAGATCATTGTTCATATTTTCTGAATACAGCCCAGGATAAACCAAACTATGTCTTGCTCAACACAGACACTGGAGAAATTGGGAGTTGTTGAAGACAGACCCACAGCTTTGCCATATAATCTCCCTTTTCATGAATTATGCTTCTTCACAATCCAGCTCTATATTAAAAATTGTCTTCCTGTACTTGAACAACAATAAGAATCAAAAGTATTTAATAAAAAAAGAAAAAAATATCTTTCTTATACTTTTTCACCTGCCTATTGCAGCCCTTCATTTCTCTTAAATCATTTGATTACCTTGAACATACATGTCCTTATTATACAGTTCATATTATTAGGTAGTTGACAAAGAAAGAAAGAGAGAGAGAGAATTGTATTGCCCATAGCAGAATAAAACAAATTATTTTTTAGTAGAATACTGAGTGGAGAATATAAGAGGGTTCTATTCTGGAAAATCTGCCTGGGAACACAGATATGGAGAGAAGCAGGAAAGAGGGAAACCCTGGACAAACAGAACTGGCCTAGAATGTGTGTGTTACCTGTGTGCACATGTGTGGGCAGGGGGAAAATATCTTACCTGTGGTGTTTAGCCCCTGTTCTGGGTGTCCCTCCACTCTTTCTGTTGTTCTTTAAAAACTGCACTTTGGGTAACCATTTCTAAACTCATTTTATTTTTAGACATGAAGATACTGACACTGACTAGTGGCAGATACTGTGATCATTTGCACAAAAGTTTTTTCCCAATGTGTTGCTATTTTAATTTGGATATCTTAAGACAGTTGGAACATTTGCACAAAAGTTTTATGATAGCAGGTCAGAACCTAGGGTTTTTTTTTTTTATTATTGGACTTGAATGAATGTGTATCCTAAGTCCAAACTGTGTGAAATAAGCAATTGTTTAAATTTTCTAAGTTTTACTCCCAAAAATATGATTGGTAAAATTGCCTGTCACTTTTAATCTGTTATTGGCTATGGTTCCATAATTATAATTATGAATGTGGGTTATGTTCTTAAATTTTTATTCCTCAGGGTTGTAACACATTGCCTAGTAAAATTGTACTTAATAAAGTTATTGACTTACTTGATGGTAATTACTTTGTCCCATTGCCTTCCATTCATTTCATCAGGGCCAGGACTGGAGTAAAGCGAGTGACACACTTGGGTATAAAATTCAGAGGCACTGACTCACTTTCAAGGGTGGCTGATTGTGCATTGTACCATCCTGAAAGTGTGGTCCTCCTTAGATATCACATCCCAAGCATCTCTGTGCTCGAGATGTGTCCTAGCGCTGCCTTTCATTTCTCTGTCCTGGTGTGTTTGAACCATGTCCCCAAATAGAGGGTAACTAAAGTTTCCTGGATGGGGAATGTAGTTCTACCAAGATGGACAGGATTTGAATTATAGTTTCCCCACCTGCTAGCTGTGTGACCTCTTGCACATTGCTTAATACTCTGTGCCATAGTTCACTTGAGTTTATAATTGGCTAACAAACATATAAATACTTAGGGTTGTAACATGGATTAATTGATTTAATGTATCCAAAAGCAACTTGAAAAAGTACTGACATTTCTAAAAGTATTTATAAATACTAGCTATTATTGTTTTATTGCAAACTAGATTTTATTTTTCTAAATTTTACTCTGTGGTCTAAAGTGCATGAAAAAATACCCTCTAGTTTACTTTATCTGTGTATCACATGTTTAATTTAGGAAAGGAATGAGATCTTCAAGCAATCATAAGAGTGTTACAAAATTCTCCATGAATTCTCTGCTGGTATTTTTGTTTATATTCTTATCCCTAATCTGTGGACCTAATACTAAGATTACACATCACTATCCAGCCCTTAGTGTTGCAATCTGGCTAGTTCCTTTTGGAAGCCTTTTCTCATAGTATCACTAAATGATCTGAGATATGAGGACTGTGACTTTTTCTACTTGAGACCAATATACATTTTAAAATATGCGTGATTCCAAAACTAAGTAAAAGGAGGTAGAGAGAAAGAGAGGAAGAGAAACATCCATGTGTGAGAGAAACATCAATTCGTTGCCTCTCTCACACCCCAACCAGGGACTTGGCTTGTAACCCAGGCATGTACCCTGACTAGAATCAAACCAGTGACCTTTTGATTCACAGGCTGGCACTCAACACACTAAGCCACACCAGCCAGGGTGTAATCTAGCTTTTTAAATATCACATTTATGAATAGTAGTACTTAATATAAGTAATTTAACTCATTACTTCAATAAAGTGAGTTCTGGTGCTAAAGATATATATGTATATATATGTATGTATATCTTTATTATATATATAAGATATATATATATACATATATATTTGTATTTGCACAAAACCAATTTTGGGTGATAAAATCATAATTTTTATAATGTAAAATATACAAGATTTGTGCATGTTTTTCTGTATAGGAGAACAAGGTAGAAAAAATAGATCTACTTTTTTGTGCTTTAACAAGATTATCTACATTACTATTCTTTCCTGCAAATGTTTAAGTTTTATTATTCAATCTTCAATAGTTTTATTTTAAAATTCAATCTTCAATAGTTTTATTTTAAATTACAGCCTTTATTCCTTGAATAAATCCAATAATTAAGGGAATGTTTTAATTTGTTACATATAAGAAGCTACCTAAGCTTCAGCTGTATTTATATATTTGATATAAAATGTCAAATTAAATCTTGAAATCAGTAAAATACTTAAAATGTTATATTGAAAAGTACTTAATTTTGTCTCTTGTTTCCATTAGAATAAATGTTCTTTGGATTTTTCTGACTGGACATTTATTTCATGGATTGTTCTACTTCAAATCTCCTATTACAATATCAAGCTAAATGCATAAATATAAATTTATTTGCTATATGTTGGCTGAAAATGATATTTTCTATAATATTTTCTACACATAGGAAATATTCTTCAGTATTTTGGTTTTCAGTATTCTGAAATGATTTCACATAATTATTTATCATTTCAGTATATGTGGGGGTGACTTCTCCGCGAGTTACCCCCTGGTCCCACGGACACGAGTGAATGAATAAATATGGCCAAGACATGCTGGATTTGTTTTGAAAGGAGGAGTGGGCTGTGGCCAGTTTCTGAGGGGAGACAAAGGCCAGCAGTAGCCAGTTTCTCCTCAGAGAATAAAGCCCTAAGCACCCTCTTCCATAGCCTTTTATTGGGTTGTAATACACAGGAATACAGGGCAGCAAGGATCAAACAGTAGATAACATTTCAAAGAAATCTGAGGGCTTCAAAATCTGAGTCAGTGTCTGTCCGGAAGAGTTGTAGAAACTTTGGGAGACATACTCATTTCCTCTTGGACTCTTATCATATGAATGAAAGCACTCTTAGCAGAGCAGATTTCACAGGTTTATCAGGAAGTCTTTGATTTTCCCCCAGGGCAAGCTCTGGCCAGGCAAGGAACTGCACCTTTCCCCGTCAGGTACTTAGGCTTAAGAGGATTAAAGCCAGAAAGTGCTTCTCCCAGAGTACATGGGGACTCGGGTTTTGATAAAGCGGGGTGGGGGGGAGTCCATTGCTCTTTGTTGCAGCCCCGCCCCCCCAGTCCTTCCATGAATGCCTCCTAGGTGATCTAGTCTGTCCTAGGTTGCCCCCCCCTCCCCCCGCTGTGAGGGGTCTTACCCATCATTGACTTCCTACCAAGCTCTGTGGGCAGGATGAGGAATTGAGGCAGCGTTTGCTACTAGAGATAGGTTTTGTCTCCTGTGGCTGGCATTCCAAAGGTCGTCTCTGGCCCTTAGCCACAGGGGGTAGAGATACAATTCCTAAAATCGGGCGGAGCAGTCTACAAGTATACACTGTATTTAACAGAATTACAATATACAGGAGTTGCTTCACTACAGTGACACATATCCTACTATAATTTCAATATTATCTTTAAATTTAAAAACATGTACTAAAGCTTAATATCAGTATACAGTAGTTCATATTTACCTTTTTTTTATTGGGGATTTAGCTGATTTTTCTCAATATAGAGGGTTTAAATATTTACTTAATGTAGGTGAAATCACTTGTTTCATGTACCTTAAAACAGTGTGTTCTTTCTAAATATAAGATGCTCTTTAAATAAAAATAGTCATCTCTGCCCCAGGGATGTCTTCCACCTGACACATTTAAATTTTTAATTAAAACAATACTTTTGGCACTGTCTGATTTGCTGTATATATTTTTTTCTCTGAAATCTCTGACTTTACCCAGAATTCCCCCTCCTCAGTCTCTCCATGGAGTAGAGCACTCAGTGTACATTATTTCTTAGACACAAAGAGCATGCTGAGCAATATTATTTGAGGCCATCAAATTGAACACATTCAATTTTTACCTTATTTAATATAAATGCTCTATATGGAACTTCTGTTCCTATTAGATGGAAATATTGAAGTTGCTTTTCTCACAAGGATTAAAAAAAAGATTTTACTTATTTACTTATTTTAGAGAGATGGGAGGGGAAGGAGAGAGGGAGAGAAGCATCCATGTGCAAGGGATACATTAATTGGTGGCCTTTAGCATGTCCCCATTTGGGGACCTGGCTTGGAACCCAGGCATGTGCCTTGACCAGGAATCAAATCAGCAACCTTTTGGTGCGCAGACTGGTGTTCAATCCACTGAGCCACACCAGCCAAAACAAACTTATTTATTTTTTTAAAAAAATTTCCTTTCTAATAGGTTCCTTGATTATTAAAACCTGGCTCATGTAACAGTTGTAATAAGTGTTCTGTAGACAGGTATTATTTATATATACAAAACTAATGTATCTGCTTTTTGTGATCACCTGAGCAAAC